GAGGAGGAGGGAGGGAGAAAAAGGAACGGGGGAGAAAGAGAGAGAGAGAGAGAGAGAGAGAGACATTCTGGTCTAACTATTTTGAGGACAGGTACTGAAGGGAGAGGGAGTGCTAGCAGCTGCCCTTTTGTTTTGGAAAGATAAACTCTGGAATAGAAGTCTAAGATGGAAAAGAAACTAAGGAGATGAAAACTGGAGTGTTTGAGGAAGCAGGGATTCATGTTTTTTAAGTCTATTCTTGGCTATTTTTGTATCCAGTCCCTAAACATCTGAATATATAAAGTGAAATCCTGTCAAGCATCTGCATGTGATTGAATATCTGCTTGGTTGATGTGTGGAGACCAAACATTGCAATGAGGGAAATGTCTTTGCATTTAGATATTTCAGTAAAAATAGCTATCTTCTGGAGTTGATGGTTCTTTCCTTCACGGTGGGACTGTGCTGTGGCATTTAGATCTGATCTCTACTAGTGGGTTGTTTTTCCTTACAAGTGTGTGCAGGATGTGTATGTCTTGGGGGAAGAGAGAAGAAAATGTGGAAATTCAAATGACATGTATTTTTTTAAATTCCTAAACAGCATAGTAGAGGGTCTTGCTGAAGTCCTTGGATAGAAAAAATAAGTCATAAGAATATCTTGAATCCACTTTAGAATAACACATGATTTTTTCCAGCAGTGTCCCATCAAAATGGTTGAAAAAGTTGCTTCTTTACTTTGCTGAAAATGAATGGTACTGTTATTTCCAACCAAGGTGTGTGTGTGTGTGTGTGTGTGTGTGTGTGTGTGCGCGCGCTCGCGCGCGCGCGCGCACACCCTCTCGCGCTGGCGCCTGTGTACGCTTTCAGCACACCTACACATCCAGTGTTTTTTGTGCCATCTGTGCTTGCATGTTAATCAGTCAAAATATGTTCCTGTAGGTCAGATTGATATTTGACACCTTCTGAAATGCACACTTCTGTGAATCAGAGCCCCTGAATATGTAACAGCCATGCAATTATTGTTTCCCTTTTACTATTCTCTGCATTACACAAGTTAGTAGACAAATGCTAACCACACATGAATATCAATCAGGTGCCATAAAAGAGCAGCTGCAATGCCTCATAAATGCTTTAATCCTGTTACTAGTGAAATGGCCATGACTTTTCTTTCCTTTAGCTCTGAGTCATTTCAGATGGGAGAAATGGAAATTAATATTTCTTTTACCTTTGAAACCTGTGACTGCCAGTGTTGATTTTTATGGGAGAAAAATACAGGGTCTATAAAATTTTTTTATATGGAGATAATGTTAGAATACATTCATTTAAAGCCGTTTTCTCAGTATAAAGTAAATGCATAAGTCCCCTTTCTTTATGAAAAAGAAATCCAGGTTGAAATAAGATAGTGAAGGCTTTGCCACCTCTTGGTGATGTAGTATGGCTAGAAGTAAGAGCTCTTTCTGAGAGCTTGCCAGGAAGATCATTAAACAGGGAGGTGAACATTTGAATGGGGGGGATTCAAATCTTAATGCCCTCAAACTTCACCCAAATGTGTATTGTGTAAAGCACTATCTTTTCTGTGATGGGTAGGGATTAATGAAGTATAGTTTAATTAAATACTTGGTCAGTACTGAAAGGAGTGTGCAGTGAATGTCTCAGTTGAATAATTGGATGGGTCATTGCCAAACTTACCCATCATAGTAAACAAAATGATTAGAACTTCTCATTTATTTTGCAAACAGATTAGAAGAGAAGAACAAACCTATCCCTGGGGTTTGGGTCATGTTATATGCTCCCAAGCTTAAGTAGCATCAGCTTACTTTCACTGCAAATCTGCTTGAGCACCAAGTAAAAGAGTGAGGGGAACTCATTTACTTAGTTCTATCCTGGGGGCAGAGCAAGAATTTTCTTCAGTGGATTGCAATTTCCTCATCTGCTCAGACTTCTTAGAAACCTAAAGTTCAGGAGAGTATCTTTTTATGTAATTAGGCAGAGGTTTCTTCTTTTTAGGTTCTGCAGAGCCTTTTCCTCAAATGCATTCATTTATGAGACTTGCAAGATGATCTGCAGTTGCTGCTTGAATTGGGCTCCCATTTTTGTATTCAGACAATTACCTTTGTCAGTAAAGATACTGGCACCATCTTTCCCTTGTAAAGATCAACTTGTATTATTTATTAATCCTATAGTTTTGCTGATTATTGCCCAGAAATTGAATTTCCAAACAACAAGATTAAATCATTATGTGCAAGATAATAAATGACACTGAGAATCTGGCTACATTTTAATGTATTTCTTTTGACAAGTCTTTTAATTCTTGGTCTCTTTGAGACACATAGCTGAGTCTGTGTCAGTGTTAATTAAATTGAGCTCTTTATGTTCCAGTTGCAGCACAGCTGCTTGTAGGTACACCTGAATGGAGAAGGATGCTGAATGCACTAACCTTTAAATTCCTTTGCAGTAATTGTTTAACCATCACTTGCCTCCTCGGCTGTTTTATAAAAGGACAAAACAGCAAGTGTCTGCATTGCATCTCGGTTTCTCCCATTAGCGAGGAGCAAGACAAAAAGGCAGAGGAGACAGTGAGCCTAAGGGGAAAGAGGTAAAAAGGCATTTTCCTCCCATTCAAATGGGCTTGGCTATCAGATTTCTCTGGGAGAAGTAGTGGTGGGGTGGAAAGTTGAAGGGAACTGGGCAAGAGCCGGGAGCAGGGTATGGAGAAGAGTTGCTGAGAGGATACCAACAAACAGGGTCTAATCTACACCAGTTCAAAACTGATCACATCAATTATAGGGGAAGCAGATTCAGGGCGCTTTTCATATAGCATATGCCCGGAGGAGCTGGAAAGGGGGTTATTTTTGAATTTCTCTTTATTTCCTCTTCTGTTAAATTGAGACTTGCTTCTTACTTCACCTAGGAGTTTATCTGGGTTCCAATAAAGATCCAGATTTAAGCATTTTTAGCCTTTCTCTCCCAGAAGCTCAACTCCCCCCATCCCCTCACCCTGCTCATTGGCCACTCAAGAAGAAAAATTCTGTATTTAAAGTACAGGAACTTGTTTTTGGTGGTGGGGGTGGGGGT